AAAAATATAACATCTAAATTGGTGACACCTTTTCTTTTTAGATCTGTCATCTTTAATTTTATACGTTGTTACAAATGAGGTTGAAATGTCTATTCTGCTTTCAAACAAATAAAGCACCTGTATCTTCACAACTTTCTGGCGGAATGCAAGGAAGCCTTTCCGGCATTTCCATCCACGATATTTCTTCTGAATAGCTAAAGCTGCTGAGTTATAATCCCGCATGTTGCGGAATGCCAACTTTGAGGCAGCTGAAAGTCCAAGAACATCATTTGAGAGGACACAATATTCATCTCCGCTAGTTGTAGCAGCACGAGCAGCTTCTCTCTGTCGTCTCTTCCGGAATGAATGTGCTCGGAATGCAGATTGTATACGAGCAGCAGCCTGAGCAGCATTACGGACTGCAGCTAAAGTGTCCTTCAGAGAAAGCTGATCCTCATGTGTGGCAGCATTTGTGGTTGATATACTACTGATAGTTCTTTCTGCTTCCACATCAGCAGCCCCCTTTGAAAGCTCACTTTCCTCTAATGTGAGGGATGAAAGATGACTGGTGAGAGCAACCTCTGAAAGATAACCTGCAACTCCCTTGTGACCGCAGCTAGAAGCAATTGACGCAGCAGTTTTACCAAATGGATCTTGTGAAGAGGGATCAGTAACAGCTCCAGCAAATGCACCAGATGCTACGAGGGATGCGACCATTTTTTCCCTGTCAAAAGCAGGCAGTTTGAACAAAATCAGCTTACTTATGTACTAAAGCATCAGGCACTGTAAGGAATAATCATAGCAACAGTACTGCACTTGCAAACATACACACACAGAGACAGGGAGACAGAGATCTAACAGGGACTACTCTGATGAACCAACAGGTACTCTAAAAATGTTATAATCACCATATGCTAAGGAAGCGAAGAACACAAGGAATATAAGAACAAGTAATCCCTTCAGTCCAGGCATCTCTCCGCCTTTCTCCAAAAACATTGCTAGAAAGCACAAGGGTAAGCACTTTATATGCATAAAGACCCTCAATCTGCCTTATTAATATTTTTTAAAAAATACCCTCATTCTGCCCCCAAACCGTTCAGAAGAGTTCACCATTGTCTCTGGAAGCACTAAAGAAAGAAAGCATAAAATCTCAAGCAAACCATGGTAAACATTAACAACTGTATTTCCACACCTTGGGTTCTCATCACAATCAGACATCACTATATATGAAGTATTTCAAACCTATCCTTTTCATGTTATCAATATATTACGATAAATTTGGAAAGTGCAAATTCTGCATGACTGCACATTTCTTCACGTAAAGATGCTATAACTTGAGTGATCGATTCCAACAACGTTCATGCTTATTTTTCCTATGAACTAAAATGTGCAGAATAGACCAATTCTCTTCAATAACAATTCAAGAGGTATCGTAAGAAACTTCATGTTTATTATTCGTCTGCACTAAAAGTTGCAGAGAAGACAAATTTCATTCAATAAACACTTTGAAGTATCATAAGAAAATAAAAAAACTTTTTACCCGGTCGACAAAGCTGTGAAATTAATACTTTACAATGTTAACAGATTTATGTAAAACAATACATGTTTCTCAGCTAGTCTTTCTAGGATGAGCCCTTATTTAGGGGGTATAGGAGAGGTATTACTTCCAAATCCAAATAATTCTGGCTTTTCCTAGGGATTGGTTCTTGTTTATCGCTATTACTCTATTTATATCTAACTCACATATTTGACTTCCTAAAGATCCTTAAATGTAGTTTATATTGTTAATTGAGTACCAAGCGCGTCATGGACTATGAAGCCAGCAGTTTGTCAAGCAACAAATATTATTCAGTTACCTTCCAAAGCGTGCAGCCCAATGCAGGGCAGTCCAGCCATTAATATCACGGAAGTTAACACTTACTCCAGCATCTAGAATTGGTTGCAAGGCCCACTCGAACCCCAGGACAGCAACCATGTGTATTATCCCTTGTTCTTTCCTGGAGAAGGAATAACCCATTTGGTTATTTTGTACTTGCAATTTGGATGAAAGCCACTGCTGCAACTTGTCCTTCAAAAGCTCTTGAAGAAGCCAATCAACGGTTACCATTGATGTTGAAGTTCCAAATAAAAGAGATTCAATGACTTGGCTCCATGAATCTTCGCTCGCCTTGGAGTTTTCCAAGATATCATTGCTTGATCCAGAACCATCTCCTTTCTGCACTGATGAGTCAGACAGAAGCATCTGTACAAATCTGACAAGGTGCAACAGTTCCTCTGAACTCTTACAAGCTCCTCCTACTTCAGCTAAATTATTTTGACCATGATCATCAAACTTAACCCGGTATTCAAACTCCCTTACTTCACTGCATGATACCCTATTGCCAGTAGTAACACAGAGTGTGACTTTACCTGGCAAGTGAGGAGGCGCCTGGCAACGGATGGCACCTTCCTTGATGATCTGAACAGGAACTTCAATATCACCAAACATACAAGTCCATGTGTACTCTGATGGATTGCAGAGAAACGATCCAACTATCATTACCTGCACTAAATAGATGAAGTTCAAATAACTGGATATTGAAACATTTCAATGAACATATAAATATCATGATATCCTACGATGGAGCATCTGACACTCCAAGATTTTCAGAATATGCCTTCATCAAAAAGCAAACTACAAACATGCCAGATTATTTGATGATGGTGAAAATTCATTTACAATGTTTTAACTCCACAGATGAAGTCAAAGATCACGGAGCATGAGAATGCACATCTCCAAGGTTGGCAAATCATACTTGCCTTAGTCATTGTGAGTTGGTTAGTGGATCTGGTTAAATCATTTTTCCAATTAACCTATTTTTTTTTTTT